GCCCTTATGCTTGAAACGGAAAACATTCCATCCGTGCGTGCTGCCGATGCTAACCAACGGGAGTGAAGCGTAGACCCTGATCTTGAAAGCGATTCATAAACCGCAGACAATACAATGCAGCACGGAATGTTGCATGCTGGGAATAACGAGAAAAGATAGGAAGATGAATGGATGGATGAGATCAAATACAAGAGTCTGCGATGTCACTCCTGAGTGAAGAAATAAAATGGCAATGAGCAGGAGCAGATTGCGAGAAAAACTGACCATCACTGGACCAGAGAGAACAGACGGCATATAGGAACATTTCCGGATCGATGGCAGGATGAACTGGACAAGTTCGTTCAATGCAAACGGCAAAATTTTGTAGAGGCCTGCATCCAGCAGTGAATGGACAAAGACTGCTTATGATAGATAACTTTTCCATTCAGTTCAATTTCCATGACCGCGCCTTCTTTCAAGTCGCGGAGGCAGATGCGTCAGACAATGCATCCAACGTTCCCGATTCTGTATCAGAGTCTCACTTTCACAAAAGACAACCGAAGTCTAGAGCAGAGTCCTTCAATACACTTGACCCAGGTTAATCTTGGTCAGATACACGATCGATCGAGAGGGCAAGAAGTGCTGCTTCACCTTCCTTTTCGGGGACATCCACAATGCGTGCCCAAACTATCGCAGCTGTGACTTCTCAGTCCGAAAAAGCAGTGGCTGTACACCAAGGCTCTCTCGGATTTGTGTATTCCGGACTAGATCAAGACGTAAGGCCAGCGACTCGTCTCAGGAGGTTCATTTCAGCCGCTTTCACCCGGAATCGAAGTTATTCAGCCATAGCACACGACTCATGGCCTAGGTAAGCATGACCATGAAGATCGACTTTAATACCGAGAACTTAATCTTCAGACTCAGCGATGCTTTAGTCACAATGGTTAGGGCTAGTTCGCGCAGAACGCCACTGGCTTCTCCAATCCGCAGGTTGATTTGTTACTCCCATTTTCCTTGATTAGTAATAGGACTACGAGGTACTTGAACTTCTTGACTTGCTACACTGCTTTTCCGTGTATTTGAAAAAAGCAACTGGCAAGAGAAAGA